TCTGTCAAAGAACCATGAGTGTAAATGGACTGGAATGTACTGGAAACCCATTCTGGGAGTAAAAGTCAAGACAGAATGGCATTCTGACTTAGATTTCAGAAACCTAGGTAACTTTGCACAGGGAAACTGTTAGTTAGGGAACAACAGAAATGTTTTGCTCTGTTCTGAAGTATGTGCATGGAGCAGTGAACACACCTCAAATCAGCTAACAGCCCATTCAGTCTATGGGAAGTCACTGTGCTGCAGCAGGGTCCACCCATCCAATCGCTGCGGTAATGATTGTCAGTGTTTGGAACGTGAAAGTGTGGGCCAGTGGCACTAACTAGCCACAAAGGGGGCCTTAGACTAAAAGAGGTTGGAGAACTGTTGTGCTAAAGGTTTCAGAAGTTTTTCGAATGCTGTCATATGATTGTGTCTCTCCTGCGCTATGCTCTCCTTTTATGTCTAGATTTTCTGTCTGTCTGTCATATATGATTTTCAACTCGTCACTAGTTTGAAGCAGCAATTTTGGAGCTTCTGATAGGAGGGTTCAGAACGGTTCAGAGGAGTTCAGGTAGGGTCTACATTTTCTAGGCTTGTATCTTGTGTCTGAGCGTGTATGATAACGTCTCACTGCAGTTTTTTAATAACACTGAAGGGCATCACCCTGTTCGACCTCATTCTGCTCCATTCCTCATACCTTCAGGTTTGGGGAACAGGCTGAAAGATACAAGCAGTTATTGGGCCCAGGGTAGTGGATTTAGGAGCAACTGTTGTTCTTACACATTGGTACCTACTAGGTTGTTGTCCTGTGCAAATTCGATGGCTCAGCCAAAAATTAAATTTACAGAATTTTTGGTCACACTTTATTTTGATGGTCCTCTATAGATTATCTGCAGATACTCTATACACTAATACCTCAAGATCTGAGTGTCTGGTGATACTTAGTTGATTATCAACAACATTATGGTAAGAGGTGGGTTAGGTTTAGAGGTGGGTTAGCTTTAGGTTTTGTGTTTAGAAGGGTTTAGGGTTAGGGTTAGATTTAATATAATCTATTCATACACAACTTCAAATTCGGTTGCGTTTAATAGATATTTGGCTGAAAGTGTGGTGTAGTGCAGAGCTAAAATTTGCAAAGTCCAGTGACATCAAACTTAAGGTTTGGATAAACAAGCTAACATTTACCTTTAAATTCTTAACCCTTAATAATTTACCAGCTAACAAATAAAATAAAATGACACCTTAAATATACTTTGATAAATTGTTCAATTTTTAGCATACTTCTATAATGCAGTGTGCATTCTATTGCCATTGGCTATTTATACGTCTTGAGCAAAACACATCTTTAAAAATATTCATACACAAAGAAAATGTTCCTGTCTTTTGAAAAGGTAAATTAAATAAATTATAAACAATATTCAGTTAAACTAAATATTATTAAAGTCTGTTCGTGCTCTTGCACTGTCCGTTAGTGGCCAACCACTCTGATTGTCCTTTCATGTTGAGCTTTGGGTTTATTTTATTTGTCCTTGGACCTGAATGTTGTGGGTAGGTTAATTCAAAGTGATTTAGTTTCTCAGTGGTGCTGGCGCTTAATGTTTCCACTTTTGACTCGTGCCATGAGCTCTGAACAGATAAGACACATTAGTTTTGAACTGATTTTGAAATGGGGGTAAAAACACACAGTTCTCTGTTCATTTGTAGATGCTTTGTTTTTGTTGTCAACTTTCCTTTTTTAACAAATGATTATGTTGCTTCACTACTCAGACAAGAAATAGTCAATAAAATGAAAAATCTACTAACATTTCTGAAATGATTCGCTTTCTGGCCTAATATCTAGCCTTGTAATCTCTGATCCAATGAGCTGCATTTGGCTGATTAATTTACGTAAAGGTGTTGGATTGGATAAGCCTACTGCTGCAGCTACTGCTGCAACAAAGGAGTGCTACAGCGCTCGCACTGGTTCATGTTTAGGGATTTAGTCACTGAAACATGACCATGTTTTTTCTCAGCTAGTCAGCTTTGCTACAGATTTTTTTCAAGTGCTTGGTTCTGTCCACTAAAATACTTTGCCGGGTCCGCCAGTTGATGACCCACCACATGACTGATTGGGGCACGCACAATATACTTTACCAATAAAGTCCTTTGGTAAGACCTCATTCATGTACTATTGTAGCACGGTTAAATTGTAATTTGCTCTAGATAGGAACATTTGCCCAAATTTCATATATTTAAACAGACTGGTAAGAAAATAACACCAAATATTTTTGCGAACTGCATGCTTAAATCATCTCATACTTGCCTTGGTCCATGTCGAGTTGGTCAGTAATCTAAAATGGTCTTACCTATGTGGTTTCTGGCACTGTATATTATACTGTTACCAATACAAATGTGTGTGTGTGTGTGTGTGTGTGTGTGTGTGTGTGTGTGTGTGTGTGTGTGTGTGTGTGTGTGTGTAAACATTTGCAGTGTACAAATGTTAAAAGTGTTTAACATTTCCGTCTTTATTTGTTTGAGGACTGTGTGTGATTTAGGCATGTAGTTTGTACAATGCTAACATAATATATGTACTGGCTAGCATCTTTGATTACATATTATGCTGCCCTCTAATGCAGTCCAGAGCTTCAATGCAAAATGAAAAAGCAATGTTGGCTGATCACCTTTTTTTGTAAGGGGAAAATTGTCTGAATTAGTAGTTTTGCCTAATTGTCCCTTTCTTTGAAAGGGAGGTGACCAGTGTGAAGATGCTTAAGGTTTCTTCCTAGTTGGAGTTCACGATTTTATCTAGATGTTATAGGACTGATGGAACAGGGGAGCTGGAGGACAAAGAGACTGCTCAAGTTTACCTCTCTGATATAAAAGCTGCTTCTGCTGGAAAATAACAATGTTTTGACAATTGTGTTTGTTTTGACCTCTGAATTTGGACATCTTCAGCCAACAGAAAAGCTTTCTAGGTGTGTTTGAGTGACTCACCAAGCACAGAGAACCTGCAGTTAGAGTTGCTTGGACCAAACTTTTCTCAAAGGGATGTCCGTGTTTAAAGCCTGCCATAGAAAAGCACACAGTTTAACTGTAATGAAGGGTTATTCATGTGCGACAGCTAAAGATGTGCGTTGCTCTGGAAGCTAAAAGTGGCAGGGTGATTATAGATTTAGTTGGAGACATTAGAACATCTGAGCCCTTAATTTGCAGCCTTAATAACTGTTCTAACGGAGCCGTAATAAGCTGAAATGCACAGTGCTGTGTTAATCAGTGTTCTCCCTTGGAATATGTTCTGGTTATTCCGCTTCTTGGAAGAACTTCAGAGTTCTGTCAGAATGCTAACTTTCTATGAGGTTTTTGGTAACTTGAGCCAAGTGAAGGCATTTTGCAAGATATGTACAGCAGTGTCAGATATGGAGATGGCAGAAATGTCATTTAAAGAAAGTAGTTTAGTAAAAAGTCAAATTTAATCAGTTTTCTCTTCACCTCAATGTAGACGATTAGCCAAGACATGTTTGTAATTCAACGTCTGCCTCTGTAATTTTGCACTAAACCTATGAGACTAATGTAGCTAACGAGGAATAGATGTGTTTATACCACCAATTAGCATCTTTGCAAGCTGCATGCCTAAACCATCTCACACTTTCCTCAGACCCTGTTAAGCTGTTTAGTAATCTGAAATAGGCTTGCGTAAGTGGTTTCTGACATACTATTATCTGTAAATGGACGAAAGTATGGACAAATTGTCAGGCTTCTGGTAGAGATGGGCATTTAAGTCGGATTCGATAGTTGATTGAAACTGCATTGGAAGCTTTTTAAGTCTGTTTAATCTCCTGAATTACCAGTTGACTGGAAAACAGCAATTGTTCATCCTCTTTTTAAAGATGGTGATCAGGCTGACCCAAACTCCAATAAGCCTACATCTATTTTACCATGTTTATCCAAAGTTTTAGAGAAACTTATAAATAGGCAGGTAACTCAATAACTTGATGTAAGCAGTATCCTATCATACCAGGTTATGGCTCCATTATCATAACATTACTCCAGGACAGTTTCCTTTAATTCCATAGAAAGCTCTTTACATGATATCCTTAAATTCAAAGTGATTAAATACATTAAATCTATGTGAGTAGAGAATAGAGCAGCTTCTTATGTGGTATAGCTGTGCTTTGTACCATGCGTTGCTGCTTGTTCTGTGTGCAGAACTCTTTGGGTGTCTGCAGTAGTCTTTCTGTTTTCTTCCTCAGACTCAAACTTAAGAATTTCCCACCAAAATATAGGATGTAGGATCTTAATTGACCCCTGTTTGAGTGTAGATTTTAGATGAGGTTTTAAATATGAGAAGTTTGTGCACACTAAGTGGCAAAATGTCTGTTTGTATATAACATTATGCCATACAGTGTCCGAAACCGCATAAGAAAGCCTATTTGATATTCCTGAACAACCTGACACTGTGTAAGATAAAGTAGCTTCAGAGCAAAACTAAAGAAGCAAACTTCTGACAACAAATATGTCTTGGCTTATTGACTGTTTGCTGTAAGGGAAAATTGTGTAAAATTGATTTTCCGCTGAACTACTCCTTTAATATCCTCAGTTCCAGCTGAAATGGAGCAGATTGAGTTGCAAGTGCTTGGAAAGTGTTCTTGTTCCTAATAAGAACTGTGCTACCAGCTGCTTGTGACATCTCTGACATGTTCATCAAGCGGGAACAAACACGCCTGGCAGCCTGTTTTGAGCCGTTGCACAACGCCAGCAAGGCAACGTGCTGTTGAAAAGGAGAACCTTGCACATTGTCACGAACAGTTGGCTCTCTGAGTGTGGCCCTTGGATCCATGGGATTGGAGTGGAATTTTCCACCAGGCTCATCACTGGGGTGAAAAACGAGTGTGTCTGCAGTAGTTTAATAAAAAAGCTTTAAATCCCACCCTTTCTCTCTCTCTCTCTCTCTCTCTCTCTCTCTCTCTCTCTCTCTCTCTCTCTCTCTCTCTCCCTCTCTCCCTCTCTCTTTCTGTCTCTTTCTGTCTCTGTCTCTGTAGTAAGGATGAGAGGTCAAATCTGGTGTTTATTCCATGGAATGAACAGAGGCACAGAGATTTGGACTGGTGTGAAGATCCACTGTGCAGGTGGGGAATGCAAATGCTTCAAGTGGTTACAGTTTTAATGAGCAAATGTAATCGAATAAGTACAGTCATATGCAAATGTTTGAACATGTATGAAAATTTTGGAAATAACACATTATCTATAGAAAGCTAACTAAAATTGGATATTTTTCTGTTATTTTACTGCACAATTTCTGTGTATTTATGTTTTTGTTACATATTTTATGTTTTATTTTTTCCCTGTTGTGTTAACTTGAACAAATATACAGTAATTATGCATTAAAAGTGTGCAGACGTGCGTTTTCTGTAGAGGATGTAACTTATTTGTGCTTGGCACATTGGCATAGCTGAAGGAAATGTTAATTTAGAACCATCTTGTTGGTCCATTTGTCACAGTGTAAAGTGTTCACATAGTGTAAAGAGCAGCTGAAGGTTTCTGATTGAATACTATAAATACATTTGGTTATAAATAAGCGTATGTATCTAATTCATGTGTTGTGTAGGGCGGTGGTGGAGTCGTCCATGGTGGATGATCATCACTTCCTGTACCAGAAGCAGCCAGAGCTGGAGCGATTCTGCACAAGGAACCCTTCCATCTCTCTCCTCACTGACTGGTACCTGAGCAGAGCACAGGAAATAGAGCACAACTCCCGCCAGGTACACACATACAATTAAAGTACAGTGCAAAAGCCCCATTCACAAACTGTTCTCACCAAATTTCTTAACCCACTTATGCAGTTTTCATGAAGATTCTGACATTCGCCAATGTTTTCTTATTTGGGATTAGGTAATCTACACACACTCAAGATCACAAAGGTACGAACAGTCCTGCGTTTAAGAACACATCATGAATCTGACATAGACTTAGAATCTTTCTCAAGAACAGATTTAAGAAAAAACTTATGGGAATTAGGCCCATTATTTAAGGCCATTTATCTTAGCTAATGTTATGTAGGTCTTTGTTTCATTATTTAGTATTCAAAAGCTTTGTCTTTTGTTTCAGACTAGTTATTTTTTTTAAACAAAAAAAAAAAAATTATCACAAAACCAAACAAAATGGCTACTACTTAAAGCTACACTATGTAAGATTTGGGGATTTGGAAACCTCTCTGGTGGAAATGTGTAATTGCATGCATTTTGTGGAAGAACATTTTATGTCCGTTGTGCTTCGGACTCCTTCCCCGAGAGGATGAATCTGATGATTTTGGCGCATTGAAGTATTCACAAAGAGCTCACCAAAACTTGGTGAAGGACGTGTCTTCTGCCGATGTAAGAGAATTATTATTACTATTGACATCATATCTTCATCAGTATAAAGTTGATCTTGCGTTTGAGACCTAAACATTGAGCCAGACCTTCTTTTTGACTCTGTGTGTGTGATGGTAATATGTAAAGACGCATGACGTGGTCTTAAAAACTCCTGCGAAATCCCACCCTACACCTCTGACTTTTAATTGATCATTTTAGGCAATAGTTAGGCTATTAAAATGTCATTTCCAGGTAACATTAGCTAAAGGCAGAACAGTCACACTCCGTTCTATGCTGTCTCAGGCCCCCCCTTTCTTTTAGAAGATTGAAGACTGAAGCAAGTTAATAAAAGATATTAATTGAGACCACCGGGTAGTTCCAAAACGCACTTCGTCATATTCTTCATAACTTTTATATTTCATAAGCTACATTCAGAAGGTGGGGGTCGTATGAGAGCTGTAATTGTGTTCTTTCCAGTCAAATAGATGGGTAGCGTAATTGTAAACCCTTATGATATAAGAAGCTGAACTCACAATTTTTCTTTTCTACTGAAAGTCGACCCATTTTTCCACAAATCTGGGCTATAAACAGATGGTGTCTCTTCAGTGATATACTCTGTAAAATTGTTTTTATAAAAAAATACAAAGAGCTTCTAGGATTTTTGGCTTTCACCAGTAAATTGTAAGCGTATAGCAATATATGTATGATCATAAAACACGTTCTGTTAATTTGAGGGGAACTTTTACAGAAAAAAAAACCAAAAAAGTAAAGATTTGCATTTATTTCATGCAGTTACTGAATAATTTGCCTTACAATTTGGTCATGTAAATTCAGATGGAAAATCCAAAAGATACCATGAAGAATAAGATATTAAAATGGCAAGCAGGAAAATTAGCTAAAGTCATATTGATTTGTTTTGACTGTTGAACGACGTTCAGGTAAAGAAGCTGAGCGTGATGAAACAGCAGGCTAGCTAACTGATTTAGTTCATTCCTGGACGTCATGAACAGCCAGAAATCTATATGAATATGGTATAAACATCAAAATTACTTGTCAAGTTATCAATCCTGAACAAGATTTATGTTTATCTGACGAAGTTAGCAATGGAATATGCTACACAAAGATTTTAAAAGATTTTAACTTCCATCGTCACTGTTATCTGGGCATCTAACATAACGTTACAACACGTCTGTCTCTCGACCATTGTCAAAAGAGGTGTGTATATATGAAATGTTTGTTACAAATAGAAAACTGAAATTTTGGTCTAATGTGTCTAAAATGAACAAACATACTTAGCATTATGATGAATTATGAATGTGAATGTTATTCTTTTTAAGGGGGTATTAAGAACTATTCCAGTATGCATTCAGAAACACCAACAATTATCAAAGCCTGTAAAATGCTATCTGGGCTAGCCCTAGAAAGAAGTATTGATTGAGCCAAACAGAGTGTATTGAATGGTACTACTGGGCTTCTTCAAGGAGATGTTTGGAAATGGTTAAGCTAAAACATTAACATATGTTAATTTACTACTTATATATTAATGTTTTTGTATTTATTCTAACATTACTGTTTTTCTAAGCTAATAAATACTTACTGCTCAGATAACTAGCTTCTTAACTATAATTTTCTCAGATGCCTGAGTTTTTGGCACAGTACTTTATATTTGTATACTTATAAATGGAACCTCATTAGCAACATCAACCCACTGATAATTAACAAACTAAATTGATCATTGGTAACTAAGTCTAGGCTCAAATCAAAAAGTTCAACTCTTACTCTGCATGTACACTGCTAGAAGTTTCACTGAGAGGCAGTGACGCTAAGTGGTGAGTAGCGTAGTGGCCACTGGTAATGTGATGCAAACGTTCCGAGCTTTGCAAAGAACTTCTGCTCAGTTAAACTTATACAAATGAGCAGTGACATTGCAACAATAACCAATCAGAAACCATTCTCTTACACAGTGTGAAATGCGTTCACCTTGGTTTATATGGAATGTTTCTGTTGCATTTTATTTGTTAATATTCTGGGATTGCAATAAAAAAATGAAGGTGTTAGAAGAAAGTGTTCTCTAATTTTAAAATGGCTGCCAGAAAAGAAATGTTTGACTTGTGAAGTAATAGCTTAGCAGAGCCTCAATATAAATGAAGAAGTGTTGTGTTCAATAAAAAAAAAAAATAATAATAATAATAAACTTTATGTTAACTTATCACTTGTGATCATGCATTAACAAAGGGATTGTAAATGTTTAGCCTGTTAGACATTTCTGGTCAATAAATTGGAAGAAAAAATGTGATTTTTGATTTCCACATTCAAATATTTTGATTCATTTTAATGTTGGTGAACAGCTATAGCCTACATAGCCTAAAGCTGGTTTGTGCCAGCCTGCATTCCTTTAAAATGCGGATTGCGTGACCATGAAATCCTATCGAACGAGCAACACTGAGCATGCAGAGTTACCATGTATACATCATCATCAGTTACAAATTAACTCTCAGGACACAGTTTCCCAAAAGCATCTTTGTATTAAGATCATCTTAACTGGGAGAGAGTGTTCAGTGTGATGCTCGCACTACCATTTAAGAATCATCTTTGTGCTACGATGCTTTTGAGAAACCCAGCCCAGATTAGTATTTTGTGGTGCTAGTAACATAACACTTTTAATCGCTACTTTTTCAAATAAGTCAATATTTTAGTGATTATTTTCCTGACTCACAAATCAGAGGTTTATGAATTATTTCAGGTAGATAACGTGCTGATATATAGCTACACGACTGACGTTTGTGTCTCTACGTCAGCAGTATGTCGGAGACAATAGCCTCCACACAATTCACACAGTTTTGAGCTTAATTCTGATAATAAAAAGAACACTGCAGTTAAATGTAAATTATGTCTGGGGGATAAGTGTCTGCGAACTGCAAGGAACTCTACTTCTAATTTGAATAAGCACCTTCAAGCTAAGCACAGCTCCATAACACTGACATCCGCCACAGAGGAAAAACAATGTAAGTGGTCCTTCTTCTCCAACATTCAGTGCAAAAGGTTTCCTTTAACTTAGAAGCTCTTAAAAGCCATTGCCGTCTATGTCATTCTCTGTAATTTTCTTGAAAATTTCCTCACACTGTCGTGCATCACGCTTTCTGTTGGGAGAATATAGTTTTCTGTCTTATTAGTGGTGGATGTTTGCTTTTGACATGGTACATTTCCTTGAATAATGGCAAATATCCCTCAAGAAGGAGGGCTGATTCCATAGCAGTGGCTTTATGAATCTGAGTTTGAGGCATAAATTGCAGTAATGCTGTAGTTTCACTCATTACTGACTATGTTAGCTGAGGCTCAGGACACAGAGTACAATTCTTAACCTGTATGTGTTTACTCACTAGCCAAATCTCCAGTTCTCCAAGTCTTAGAGTTCATTTGTGTCCAAGTGGACCTGAAAGAACACTGCAGGTGTTAATTCAACATGTTAGGTCTTAATTTAACAAAGTGGGATTTGTCCTTGCACACATACACCGTGTACTTACACCCCTCAGCAACTCTGTTTCTGATTACACCTGAGAAATGATTACTTGTGTGAATGAGCTGGTGTAAGGGGAGTTTAGAGGAGGATCTTATCTGAGCTCATATCTCTCTCTGGCCTAATGCTGTGAGAGCTGATGCTAATGAGGTGTGAGAGTGTTATCACAGACCTCAGTGAACATACTGACCTGCTGTACAACCACCAGGTACTCGAACAGGGTTGGGCAGAGTGCAGAGGAAGTAGTAATGGCTGAATACTGAATTCACTTAGGCCTGAATCATCTAATGAGTTTTCTGGGTGCATGCCCAGGGGCCTGAGCAAAGAGGGGGCCCCCACAAGCCATTAGGAAAAAATCTAAACAGCTGTTTTGACTCACAGTGGGAACTTTAGTAGTAGTGCAGCAGGAGAAAAAAAAACTAATTTGTGAAATTTACGGTTGATCAAAATCCTGTTCATTTGTGTTTTGCCTAAACATCTTCATTTTCTCTTCCAATCACTGCTTAGCAACTGTCACACTGTTGCCATTACCTTAACCTAGATAACTGTACTGGTATCGGCACACATCCGTCAAAGCGTTCACTTCCGTTTTTTTATGCATCATTTTTATGCTTCAAATCATCCAGCAATATGGTGACTGTAGCCCAAAGTATGCGGCAACAGTGCACCTTTTACTTTGGGTATGCCGTTTCAGGCAAAAATGGGGCAACGGTTAACCGATTAAAGAAAAAAGTTTCTAGGGTCCTTGTTGTCTGTGTCATAAAAACATATATGTATATATTTTACTTGTCAATGTTTTATAGGGAAGTGTTGCATTGGTTGTTGGGTTTATGTCACCCTGTGCTCTCGTTAATGTGTGTGTAATCTTGCTTTGTCTTGATTGGAAAAAAAT